TGAGCGGCCATCTGCTGAGGCCCACTGGGGTTCAAGGAGACAGAAGCAGACATAGAAAAAGAAGCATAGATACAAAAGGCAACCAGCTCCACAGGCGGCCCCGTCCAGGAAACACACAGCCAGGCAGACGAGCTCCGAGCCAGCTCCCATGTAAGAAAATTGAGGTTTTTCAAAAATGCTTGAAAAACTTCCAAGAGGGCTTAGATAGCTTTTTATTCCACGTAAAAAAATATAATTGAAACCTAAATGCTGTATAGCCAGCTTACAGTTCTAAAATATGAATGATTTAATTTAAGGGTTTTTTACCTTTTCTGTGTTACAGTACTGTGTATTCAGTGAGCTTATGTTTTGGGATGGCTTTGCTCAAATTAATGCTAGAACCACCTAAAAAAAAGCACTGCTGTGGTTTTCTTTGTTCGCTCCACTGATTTCTATACAAGAAAGAAGAAAAAAACAATACAAGAAGCTCTACGTGAAGTCATGCAGACCATCAATCACATCCCCCAATCTGCAGTGACAGGTCAGAGCTGATACCTCTCATATCTGAGCACAGGAACGTTTCACAGCATGCGCCATCTGGCAAAAAACAAATATTCTCAGGCAAAGCAATCATTCACATACCCATATAACAAATGACATTAGTGGGGGCCCATAAAAGGCAACGTAAAGGAAGTCTGCAGGATTTGAGCAGCTTTTATTACAGTGGAAGCGCCTCTAACTGCAGCAATAAGCGGCCATATCCACATGGTGTTTTCACAGCGGGCAAAAAAGCTGGGTGTGATTTTCTTTTTGCTTTGCGTTGCCTCTACCTTGGTTAAATATTGAAACCTCAAGGATGTGATTTGCACATAACTGGCCACGGACTGTCTCTGTAATCCGGCTCTGCAAGTACAGGGAGAAGCATTCATTGATAAAAAGCAAATACAAATAAATAAATCTTACATCGTCAGAACAAAATCTCTCACTGGAAAAAACTTTAGCAAATAAAAATGTTCAGATTTTAATTTCGACTGTATCCTTTGTGTCACAATCACTGTTACCCCTGCAGTCATGATAGCCTTTATGACCCCTCTGCTAACAGCAAAATACGTTTGGCCCACAGCATCACAGGTCCTAGATCTTGTTTAACAATAGGGATGAAGGTGCTTTTTTACATAGCTGTATCCATTTCCATCCATTTTTGTGTCACGCTTAATCCCAGCTGGTGTGGCGAAGGGTGCTGGTGTCTATCTACACCTATCTACGGTTGAGAGGCGGGGTCTACCCTGGACAGGTCTCAAGTCCATCGCAGGGCAACACAGAGACAAACAGGACAAGCATTCACACACACACTCACACCTAAGGACAATTTAGAGAAGCTAATTAACCTAACAGTCATGTTTTAGGACGGTGGGAGGAAGCCGGAGTACCCGGAGACAACCCACGAATGCACAGGGAGAACATGCAAACTCCGCCAAGGATTAAAGCAAAAAAAAAAAATCCTGAGCCTGAGTCTTATAAAAAATTTTCAAAATGTTATATATAATGACATATATATATATATATATATATATATATATATATATATATATATATATATATATATATATATATATATATATATATATATATATGAGATCAGAGATTGCATGAATGTTTGAAGACTAAATTAGACTTTTGAAAATCCAATACCAAAAACGGCCAGTAGATGGCATCTATATCTACCACTTGCATGAACCACATTTGTTTTGATATCTAGTTTTGCTGCTAAGCGTCATGTCCACCAACGAAAGCACACATCCTTATATTTAACTCTCATACACGGTCAGTTATTGATGCTGGTACATCAGCTGTCGCCGTAGCTCCCGGCTAACGTGTAGCGTGTGCGACCGCACGAACTGCAGTTTGATGACCAGGGTCTAACTCATGTTTGCGGGGCACCTTTTATCCGCTGGATGCGTAAATAAGTGTTCCTGGAGCCCAGCGTGCAGAAGCAAGCGTCTGGTTGAGCTAACTTCCTGCTCCAGCTGCTAAATGGCTCGCCATCTCGCCCCGTCTCCTCCAGCCATGCACGGCGCCATTTATTTTTCAACCTTAATTTATGGTCGTAACAACTTCCACGGAGTTCATGAACTGCATGGTTCCCCCTCCATGCTATTGTGTTCTCTCTATCGTCCTTCTCTCCAAACACAAAGTTTCATTTATTTATTTTTTCACTTTTAACACGTCTCTCCGTAGCATGGAGCCGTAAACGGCAAAAGGTGACTTTCCGTGTAGAACTTCGGAACTGCACCACAATCCATTTGGCGACTTGAGCAAGAAACGAGAGGAGGAGGTACATGCTTTCCTAAGACCCTCCCCCTTCTTCTTCTGATTGGCTAATACTGTTAGTTTCAAACCGGCCCTGTCCGATACTGGTATCGGTGCAAAACTAATTACAATAGTGATTTTCTAGTTTTTTATGATGGAAATCAGTCATCAGGGCAACAAGATTAAAGTCGCGAAAATCGCCCCATTTACGCTACCCTCTGAAAACCGATCCGTGCGGAGCTCAGGTCCATACGACCATTTACACACCACGCTAGCATGGTTCCTCGCCTCCTAGTGGCAAGCAAACCAACATGGCGCCGCCCGTAACATTCAGGAAGTTTGCTGAGATTCTGGCAAAGAAGGCAGCCTTTTGTGAATTTACTTGACAGAGTCGGCTTTAGGGAAGTGGATCCGGCAAACGATAGTCTAATTAGGGCTTCTAGACGCAGGAAACAATGACAGGCGTTGAGGTTCATCACACTGCTAAGCAGAATCATCACTGGAAATCGTGTGGTGCGGTAGGGAAGCTGGGATTTTCATGAATGTCTGAAGTTTCCTGATTACGGAGGCTGACTGTAAGGAGATAACGAGGTCTGTTTGAGATCTGAGAACCGAGCGAGAACTGAACCGCGCCGAGCGCTACTGATGAGCTAGCACCATGTTAGCGAGGTTGTGTCTGCCGCGGTCCGGTTCAGTTCTGCATACGATTTACA